GGAGGAGGAGGAGGAGGAGGAAGAAGAAGAAGAAGAAGAAGAAGAAGAAGAAGAAGAAGAAGAAGAAGAAGAAGAAGAAGAAGAAGAAGAAGAAGAATCAGTATTATCAGCATGTATGGCTAACCCCAACAGCCTGGATGAGAGAGGGAAGGGAGTGCTATTTATTCCCATTTTCCAGATGAGTAAACTCAGTTTGTTTCGGTGAGTTGGGCCACGGTCAGTTACTAAAGCAAGTAGCAGAGTTGAGCTTTGAATCAGGTTTGCCAGACAATAAAGACCACCGTTTTCCAAGCTGCTCCTGACTATTGGCCCACGGTGCTCAGGAACACACACACGCACACACACACACACACACACACGATTGTTCAAAAAAACCCCTACAATATGCATATGGACCACCAGGTGGCGCCTTGAAGCCACGGTTGGGACAACCATTCTCGCTGAGCGGGTTTTTCTTGAGCGGGAAAATCAAGGGTCTGCTAGACGGTAGGTAGGGAGGCTGGGGTTGGTGGCTTTGTGCATCTGACCTGCCCCTTAGCTAAGGACCCAGGGTGCTTGAGGTTTGGACCAGCATGTGCTCAGCACACTGCTAGACACCAAGTAAAATGTCAGCCCACCATGGGTTGGGTCCCAGCTACTTCCAGCAGAGGATGGTGACCTGACTTCCTGCAGATTCCTGGGGTGCACTCTATGATAACAGAGCTGGGGTGTGTGGAGGGTGCATGCATGTGGGAGACAGGACACCCACCGACACACTGCCAAGGTGTCTACCTGTGAGGCTCCACTGATACGGATCTCAGAAGACGTAGGGTCCCAGCCTGGGGGGTGAGCAAGGACGCCGTACCATTACTTCTGTGCCCTCAGAGGGTGCGTGTGTCTCTGCAGGGCCGTGGCCCGTGTGACACTCAACAGTGCTGAGTGGAGATGGGCTCAGGGCCCGTGCTCTGGGGTTTCGACATTCCTTCTTAGACTTCTCACTGGGGGCCTATATGCTCCTCCTGCCGTGTCTTCATCCTCCCCTGCACCCCGACAAGCGGTTCCCGCTTGGTGGATGGTGGACCGTTCATCTTTGGCTCCCACCCCTCTTCTTCAGAGCCCCTTCGAGCAGGAGTGTGCTCACCCTTGTAACCGCAGCTTCCCAAGTCACAGGCAGCAGCTTCTCTGAACGTGGGCTCCCTCTGGATGTCCCAGGGACTCAGGTTGGGTGGCTTTCAGGGGGTGGCCCTGGAGGCTCCACATCCTGGAATAGTGGGGAAGGCCAGTCCTCAGAAGGGGTGCCTCCTCTGACCAAGCACAGCAGCCCCTTTGGGAGGCCCCCTGGAGCCCACAAGACACTCGCTTCGCATGGTACAGCATCCCTCCAGGCCTGAGGCAGAGCAGCTGGGAGACTGTGGAGGGGTTGGGAGGCGGTGAGGGCCTGTCTGCAGAGATGGGCGCAGGGTTGTGTGCTGGGGTGTGCAGCTTTGGGAGCCCAGGTCAGCCTGGAGAGCAATCTGTTTGGCAGGCAGGAGGGCTGTGAGGGCCCGGGCAGGCCAACGCCGAGACCAGTATGGGAGAAGAGCAGCCCAGGAAGCCCAACACGCTTGCCCTCTTCTCTCCTGGCTGAGAGCCTCCTCCCGGTGTTATACAAAATGTTCCAATGTGGAGAAATTTGAATCTGGACCAAAGCAGAGAGAAAAACGAAACACGGTGCCCACCCTAGAGCCCTTCAGCCAGGAGCCCTGGCTGTCCTCTTCTTCCGAGTCCACCTGAGCCCTATCTGCTCCCCCTCATTTTGAAGCAATCTCAGCCCTGATTTCATAGGAAATACTTCCTTCCGTATCTCTAAAACTTGCCAGGGCCACAGCAGCCGTGTTAAACACCCAGGTTTCAGATTTTCTGTCTGGGAGCAATAAAATTTCCTGTCTGGTTTGACTTAAGATCCAAATGAACTCCCTACAGAGGGACTGAGCGAGATATCTCTGAAGTCTCTAATTTCCTTTCTTGTTTCACTCTTCATTTTGAAATAATTTCAGACCTACAGGAAAGTTGCAAAAATAGTACAAAGAATTCCCATTATGCTCTTCACCCAGATTCTTTGAATGCTCATATCTTACATAATAACCACAGTGGGATGATCAAAATCAGGAAATTAACATGAATACAGTATGTACCTGATCTACAGATCTGATTTCAGTCCTGTCAATTTATTTGTCTGTTTTGCTCTAAAGAGTCTATCAACATTGGTTTTTCTCTTTTTAAATTTAAAATTAAAAAATTTAATATCTAAAATTTAAAATTCGTATTTTTTTCAAAGTACTGGCCAGTTACTTTGTACAATTTGGTTTTGTTTGATGTTTTCCCATAATTAGACTCAGGTTCTGCACTATAGGCAGGAATCTAACAGGAGGAATTTGATTTTGGAGGGTCACAAAATGCTTGATTCCTCTGCCTCGGGGTTACTATTCTCCCTCTGTAATTAATAAGTCTCTGTGATGAGAATTCGAGAAGATGTAGATGTCTTATCTCTCACCATATTTTTACCTCCTAGTTCTAATGTTCACTGAGGCCCCTTGGTTAAAACAATTATTCCTGAGGTGGTGTTCAAATTGTGATGTTTCTGTGATCATCCTTCTGTCCACATTGAACACATGAAATTCTTTCAAAGGAAGAGCTTTGTTTTCTGCCCCCATGTCTGCCTGTCATGCATCTGTGTACGTCACGTGCACTCCGGTATTCTGGTTTTACTCTGTGGCTCATGACTATCAGTGCTGGTTATTCAGATTGTCCCAGATTTGACCATTGGCAGTCTCTTCCGGGTAATTATCATCCTTTTGCCGTATATTTTGTCTTAGTTACTTTCTCATGTTAAAGTTAAAGAAAAGGCTTATTTTAACTTAGCTTGTAGAAGTTTCAGTCCACAGTCAGCTGGCTCCAAAGCAGGGCAGCAGGACAGCGCAGCAGAAGGGGAACCACTCAGGGCAGGGCAGAGCAGGCAGAAAAAGCAGTGGGCCTGCCTTCTTTCTACTCCTTTATATTCCATTTGGGCTATAAAACAATTGATTGATGCCACCCTTGCCTAGGGCCAGCTACCCTTGTCAGTAAGTCCCCCCAACCACACCCGGACTTTGTTAATCCAACGGGGTGGGAGGGGGGTCAGTGCAGCTGTCACACACCCTTCCTCCCTATTCACACAACTCTAGTGCCAGCCACCTCTTCAAAGCTCCACCTAGGAGCGCCTGAGGCTTTGGGGGGGACACCTAGCCTGGAGCTGTAGTGTGGTGTCCTCATTTTTGGAGTACTTCCTTGTTCTCCGGCTCCACAATGTGCTCCAGGCCCTCTGGTCCACACTTGGGTCCTGTGAGTTGTTTCTCTAAGGACCTTGCGTCCTTTAATTGAAAATGCCTTTTAGGGGCAGGGGAGAAAGCTCAGTAGAGTAAGTGCATGCCTGGCAAGCACAAGGGCCTGAGTTCAATCCCCAGTTCTGAAAAAAAAAAAAAAAAAAAAAAGGTGCCTTTTAGAACCTGGTCCTTGCTTCTCAGCTCTCATTGCCTGCAGGACTCTGAGCAGACAGCACCAGCCGACACACGCGCGCACACACACACTTCCATTTGTGTATGCATTGAAAACTAAGCTCCTACTCACATCCCAACTCCACTCCAACGCCCCAAGACTCCCTCTAACTTTTCCCTTTGCTCACTGGCAACTCCTCTCTGCAGTGCGGAGTAATGTGGATCTCATTAGAGACAGTCTATGTGTTCATTAAGCATGGAAACAGTTTCAGAGCTGTCTGCTCAGACCCGCGCCAGCCTTCTGGCTGAGGGTGCCGCATCCTGACTTCCTATTGTCTTCAGCCTTAGAATAGAATCAAAATACTCTGTCTTCTTCTCCTAGATTGAATCCTCCTCTTTACAGAAAGTGTGTTATCTGTAAAACTATCGGTTTTGACTATCTCAGTTTGTATTCCATTTTGGGTTTTCTCCCATTTAAAAACTTTTTTTTTTTTTTTCCGGAACCGGGGATTGAACTCAGATCCTTGCGTTTGCCAGTCAAGCGCTTATCGTACTGAGCCATCTCCCCCGGCCCCAACATTTTTTTTTTAAGTGTCTGAACTACCAACCTGACTCTAGGAGGCAGGACCACTTGAAAAGGTACCTCAGGCCCGCTCCCTCTCCTCTTGCTTGTTCCTTCACTACCTTTTCTCTGTCCAAACCCACCCCCTGCAGGGAAGCGACCTCGCTGGTTTCTGTCTTATTTTTCCAGCGCTCCGTTTGCCCAAAGGAACAGCTGTCCGTTTTCTTCTTCTTCCCCTCGTCCTCACCCGAGAGGCAGCATGTTCTAATTGCCTCTCCACATTTTGCTCTTTATCCATTCTCAGGTCTCCTCAAATCCAATTTTTCCTCTCCACCTTTGTCATTTCCTGGGCAGAGAATCCACGGGTGTCGGTGCCGCGGTCCCCAGACCCGGCTCCGTGGCTCGCAGGCCACACGGTGCAGATGAGCGCGCTGCGCAGCCCGTGTCCCCTTTGTCCGGGGCTGTTGGGCGGAGAGACGGGACGCAGGAACGGCTTTGAAAGGTCAAGATTCAGAATGGCGGGGCTCCTTGGGCAGCAGAGCTGGTCTCCCTCACA